AAGCTGTTGATTTGTCCTCCGGGAGTGGACCTCTTGAGGCTCCACTTGGCGTTCCTTTCTGTCCTGCAAGTTTGGGTGGGGCACAAAGATCTTTGCCTTTAGGAACTACTTCTAGTAGCGGTAGTCTTACAAGTAACTATTACCATGGAGAATTATGTCATAGCGAGATATTGAAGAAAAGGATGGAGAAAATAGCAGAAGCACATGGCTTGGAGGGAGTCGCATTGGACTGCTCTAACCTATTAAATAATGGCCTAGATGCTTATTTGAAGCGTCTAATTAGGTCATGTGTTGAGTTATTAGGATCAAAGTCAGGTCATGATCATATGAAGCATCCATTCTTCCAGCAGCAAGCTCAGATGACACCAATTAACGGAGTTTGGCCTGGAAATCACATGCATGCGCAGAATAGTCCTGGATCTTTAAACCACATGCAATGGCTGAAAACACACCCAGTATCTGTTCAGGATTTTAGGATTGCAATGGAGCTGAACCCACAGCAACTTGGTGAAGATTGGCCATTGCTACTCGAGAAAATATGCCTCCATTCATATGAAGATTAAGATAGGACAATTTTGGGGTTTTTCGATCCGTCAAATTCTTGTGTGGTGAATCTTTAAGTACCTCAAGGGTTGGTTTTATTTTCCTTTCTTGGCTTCACTCAAGGAGCATTATCATGGACCAAGGCAAAATTATTTTTCTAATATTCCTGATGTGTTCAAATGAACCAAACGTCAGTGCTGGAAGGAAGTTTAGTTTTTCCCTCTTTGGCTCATTGCTGTATGCTTTTAATAAGAAAGGGGTTGTTCCACCAGAACCAGAGAGGTCAAGCTTTTCTATGGTTTTCAGCTTGCTCAGAGAAAATCAATTTTGCAAAATACTGATGTGTAACTTTTGATATAGGTATATGTAGGTTCTTAGAGGGATTGCTGTGTATGTAACATTACTTTCAGAAGTTGCTTGGGTAGTTATAGTTAGTGGCAGCCTCTTACTGTTTCATGATTGTTCGGAAGAAAACTTTGTGCCATCCAAATATGATACACATCTAAGAAATTGAGTATCTGGAGACGTCCTTTATGTTTTTTCTTACAGAGTTTAATCTAGATATGTTCGAAGCATTATGAGGGATTACAGAGTTGGTCATTTCCCACTCGGTGATGCTCTTTATGTTAAGGTGATCTGGAGGGTTGACGCTTGGTTGAATTTCAAGGAATAAGGTACATCCGCCTAGCGGTCTTCTGGGTCTTACTAAAATTCTGTTCCCTAAATTTTCTTTTGCTGTCTTATGAAAATTCTCTTTTCTAAATTTGCTTTGGCTAAGATGTTAGCACCAACTCCTGTAGTGTTGGCATCAAGTTGGTATCTGGTTGCAAAGACTGCTCAAATCTTTGTTAGAACCTTCTTGTCTCGAAGATTTTGTTGCACAATATAACCATTTTAATGGGGAAGGATTTCAACGATTAATGGTAGCATTACTGACCTTGCCATCACTGGAGCTATTAATTTGTATAAAGCAAGAGATCTTTTTTGAAGATTGTGTAAATCTACTAGAGGCTTATAGATTGAGAATTCAAAATTTCATTCACCATGGTGAACCTCATGTTTTGTTAGAACTGTGATTAAATGATACATGCTGCAGACTGTTTAGGAAGAATCACTGGTGATTCTTTTTTAGTTCAAGATTGAGCTTATATCGTAGAACCAACAAGACCAGGAAGGAAAGTTGCAGACTCTGCTGGTCAGCACTACTTATACGCCAAAATAAATTTATATGCTTATAGCAAGATTTTATGTTGATTGAGCATGACATCTTGTTATAACAATTTATATCTTCTATAACAGACCTCTTATCTAAGAAGCAGGGAGATATTTTCTGATCAATTCAATAGATTATGCCGCAGCATCACATCGTGACACTCATGCAGTCCTTGGTACCAAAAAGTGTAAGGATTTTGCTACTTGAACCCCAACAGTAGTCACAATTTTGATTGGATTAGCTCTGTACCTTAATGCTTCATAACACCAAAAATCATGTACGAAATACTGCAATTGTTGATATGCTACACTTTTAGAATTCAGTATTTAATTCAGTTAAATGTGCCTTTTTTTATGATCTTTATTCGGTATCTGATGCTAAGTTTGAGTTTAATCTGGAACTACACATGATAGTACTTTCTTATCTAAATACAAAATAAAAATTAACAGAAATTTTCTTCTAAATAATAATTAATGCCACTGCAGCATTTGCAAGAAATAACACACTACATTACTTTATGAAATAAATGTTGTTTCTGAATAAGAAAATTACCTCTGTTTGTTTCATTTTTTATCAAAAAAAGAAAAAAAAACTCTGTGTTCATTCTATCTTTTTTACTACCAAATAAGATGCCAACAATTCTACCTTACAATTCTCCTGCAATTCTGATAACTGCAGAAAGCATCAAATATGCAACACTCTGAAATGCCTTTATCTTCCCTGGCAAAGATGCATTGAAATTGCTAAGCCATATGGCTTAAGTTTTGGTCTTTGTGCTCATGTGTTTTTGCATTGAAAATATGTTGCCATTAAATTTCAATTTTTTGTTTCTGTGACAAAGCTAGTCCTCAGAAAATTACATAGAGGACAAGGCTTAGGAAAATTGGAAAATTGCTGGCTGACATATTTCACATCTGAAATCTCCATACTTTGATCTTCCTTAGATTCCACATTAGCAAATGCCTCATGCATTGACCCGTTCCTTTTCAGCTATGCTACTAGATAAATCTACTGTTACGAATGGATTCGGAGAACTTTCTGAGGAAATTATAAACTTTTCTCCAAGAAACTTTACTATTCTTTAATTTTAGGAATATCTCCACTTTTATCTGCAATTGTTTCCTCCCTCTTCCTCTTCTTCCTTTTTCTGTTATATCCCTGAATGCCAAGTGTTTTATCAGCAAATGCTATATCCGAAAGTAGAAAATCCTTCATAGAATTTTCTTTTCTGATTGTCATTGATTTATAGAGGAAGCATAGTCGATGTGTATGAGCTTTCGTTGATTTATATTGTGGCTTTAACAAGTTAGAAAGATGAAGAGAAGCCTAAAATAAGTAATAATTACTACCTGATGAAATATTGGTGTGGAGGATGTGGAGAATCCGTATCCTCTTTTGCACTAGAGGTTGTTGCTTGTGAGGGATCTACATCCGTCAAAATCATGGATGATTGAGATTGGCATGTGGTCTCAATGGGCTCTGTTGAGATTCATGCAACAACCTAATGAGTGGCTTGATTGCTCCTTCTACCTACGCTTTACGAGTGAATCTGAACTAATAGTTAGAAGGTTGAAGAAACAAATGGAGGACAAGTGATTTTTTTTATCACTCTTTTCAGTAACATTTCTGAATCTTTGTTGATCATCAAGGCAGCTGCTTTTATATTGTATTAGGTACATTTCACACTGCTTGGTGAATGATTGTAAGAAATACTTATACACCCTGTCTGTCTATGTATTGTTCCTCCACAGTGCCTCACTGTTCTGATTGACTTTAAGCTGCGATTTTTTTTCTCTTTTTTCCTGCTATGAACTAACAAGCAACAATAGATAAGATGTTCCATATTTCTACCTGAAATGAGTTATCACCTTGAAAAGGATGCAATTATGTGTCCTGAATTTTGATATTATGCATAACACTGAATGCAGCTTTTAATTGGGACTTGACTTTTTAACATTATGCATGACACAGAATTCATAACCTGATATTTTAGTGACCGACTTGAGTGTAGGGATGTTTTTTTCTATCCATGTGTTTTCCTCTTTTCTCTTTTTCTTTGGTGGCTAGGATTTGTGAGGTATGTACTGCATTGGCATTTTTGGGTGTTTTTTGTGTTTGGAATAACTTTCTTCTTTACTTTTTCTCTCATTGGCTTTTGGTTGGTGGGATTTGAGTTTATTCATTTGAATTGTAGAATCTGGCAGATGTGGCCAACATACAACTACACCTAATTTCACTGGCCAAATATCAAGGTATTTGTCAATATTTTATTGTCGGTAGGACAGGATATTATTATATGGGACTTCGAAGTCATGTAAGTACTTGATTATATTCTTAGTCATGGGTCAGAAAAACTCAAGGTTTAAGCAAAAGGCAAAGCCATAAATCATGCTGTAACATAGTTTAAAAGTTGTTGCATATATTGTAGAATATTTTGGTGATGCTCATCATAATTAGTCCCACAGGGTTATATATATTCACTGTCTAGGAGTGATGCCATCAGATAGTTTGTGCCTGTAGAGATGTAGAACTTTTTATGCAGGAGTTTCCATAAGGAGGAAATTGGCATAGTCCCAGAAAGCTCTAGGCTTGTGAATTATACCTCAGAAGTGATGAGGATGAGGATGTATCAATTTTGGTCACTGAATGGAAGTGGAAGAGTGTCACTGTCTGTGCAGTGGGCTCAAATAGATAATGGATGTAAGATGGTGACTTGACCAATGTTAGTGCTCTGATGCATTTAGACAATGGCATCTTTTTTGGCTCAAATCCTAAACAAATACATAGTGCATACAAGGTTTATGTAGATTATAGCATGAGCATCATTGTGTCAAATCATCAGAACCAAGTGGATCTGATGATGGTTGCAGTGGCAAAGCATGGCTCCAAGGCATTGTATTTTTTCTTTTTTTAATCTTTTTGTGACTGGAATTGATTTGGTTAGCTAATGTTTGTTATTTCTGTCCAAGTCAAGTAGGATCCAGTTGGAATCCTAACATGCATAGATTCAAAACCTAAAGTTGACTCAGTGGTTCCTTTGTAGGTCTAAATCTAATAATGTCAATTAAGAACTGACAATAAAGCTATCAAGCTTCTGTACTGGATCTACTTGAGATCCATTTTTTCCATGGTGCTGGTTTAGATTAGTATATCCTCTTTTATGAGCATGAAGGAAGCAGAGTTTAGTTGTGATGTAACAGTTAATAAGATAGATGAGGAATAACAAAGGCTTGAAGAGATACAATTGACAACAGCTTAAAACCCTTCTTCCACCTCAGTTGATGGGAGAGGTTTGTGATAGATATCATATGTACAGGTACACCTGAGTCTTGCAAGACTCTACAGTCATCTCTACTTGTTATGATCTCATGACATAGCCAAGCTTTGTTTACCTTTCTCATCTACTGTTTCACTGATAGTTTTCCATTGCATCAGGGAGAATCTTGTTCTTCTGCAGCAGGATGACAGTCGCCATATCGATCCCTTCCTCTGCTTCAGCCTCTTTGGTGTCTCCATCTCAGGTTTGGTCAGAATCTCCCACATAACCTGCACATCTTGGTAGCCACACATTTGCACATCATCATAGAGCTTAAGAATCCCTTTCCCTGTGCAAGAGTAAGAACACAGTCACCATCTGTCCATTTGTAGGGATGCATGGTTTTTACATGATGAATCTGCTGTGTTCATGTTTTACATAGCTTGAGAGAATCGGGAGAAAGAGTTCATAATCTCATTCACTCGTTGTGTCTTCTCTTTGCTTTGGTGGTAATTACAGAAGCAGAGAGAGAGAGAGAGAGAGAGAGAGAGAGAGAGAGAGAGAGAGGAGATGAGCTTATGGTTACCGTGCTTCCGAGTCTCCACGCGGGAGGAGACGGCGAGCCAAGCTCGCTTGACGCGGAAGACCACCTCCCTCCGCCACCAGGACACCACGTTCTTGGCCGTCATCCTCTGCCGCCGGTTCCCGCAGTCCGACGCCCGCCTCTTTGCTCCCGCCAGTCCTCCTTCCCCGGTGTACCGTTCCGACGAAGAGCACCACCCCCTCCTTCTACGTCCGGTGACGCAAACGGTTGTCGGTGCACAGTTTCTCGTGTCTGAATCCCTCTGTGTTCTGGTCCTCCTCTTTATTCTCTCCTTTTCCTTCTTGGCTTCCGCGGTTGATATAGTCACCCTCAGATCCATGAGAAGTTGCCTTACAAAGAGGGCTTGTTTGTTCTACATTAAATTATTCGGGATTAAATCCCGACTCTCCGGGGGGTGAAAATATCAAACCGACGACGTGAACGTATCCGACCATGTCCGCACCCACTCTTCCAACTCTGCTTCGACACGTGTCGGACACAACCTCTCGTCCCGCGTGACGGACAAAAGCAGCCAAAGGTAATTTTACACGTCATCATAGTATGCTGTGCGCTGCTCTGGATCTGCAGCAAAGCGGTAAAAAAAAGTGGAACAGTTTCAGCGCCGCAGGGAGACGCTGGTCGGGTGCTGATTAGCTAACGTGTCGACTTCCAATTGGATGATTCGTTGGAAGTGTAAAAGGCCAGTGGACGTCACGAGAGACACTACCACCCACACGTGCCTGTCGTATTCTCTCCAGAAATTAGATACACGCGTGGAAAACTTACTCCTAGGTGGCGAGCTCCTATTGGACCACAACTCGAGGCATCGTGAACCAGCACACCGCTATATATATTGAGGCAGAAGCCGCAGAAGAACCCTAATCTCCGGCCGCCTCTTCCCTAGCTGCGGCTCTCTCTTTCTCTCTCTCTCCCTCTCCGTCTCTAAGATCTCTCCGGTGAGGTTTTCGTGTTTCTCTCTCACTCTCTCTGTTGCTTTTTCGCTTGCCAAACTTTAGACCTGCTTTATCTGAAGAAGGATTCGGCTCTTGACAAAGAGTCAAACAGCAGGCGCCTTGTGATCCATGGCGATATACCTGTCTGCCGCATGGAGCCGATATTAGGTCGCCGGACGAAGATTGCTTGGATTTCTTATTCCTTCAATCCAACGCCACAATACCCGGCCACATATCCACACCAAAAACTTAGATCCTCTTCTCCCCCTTTGTTTTCTTTACTCGTTTATCATGTAGCTTATAGTTCTTCTAATGTGACTGATTTTGATCGATGGATGAATGGCATTTAATTCAGACAACGGGTGCTTTGTTCTCAGATAACAAGCCACCTTTTGCACGGTGCCTACAGAGAGATCAAACATCGTGAGGCTGCCACACGATTGTGGGGTGTGCTTACTCTTGTTAGCCCCCTGCAAATTTAAAGCTGCCACATTTCTCTATCTCAAATATCATCCTTGTTTCTCTTTAACTCCGGTTTTAGATTAATTTTCACCATACTTGTTATTGTTGTTTCGATCTTCATCATCATCCTCATAGAGTTCAATCATCGTTTCTAAAAATCTTGTTATCAGGATTTCACAGTTAGGAATTGAATTGTGCAAACCAGAACTGGTGGTCTTAGTGGTCTTATTGATTAAAGAATACTAGTGGACATTCGAACAGAGTTTTGGACACAACAAATTATGGAATATTGGTGAAGATGTTTAAAATTGCTGGCTTTGAGTATATTTATGAATGATTTATTTTTGATCTTCCATCTCAAATCTTTTTGTAAGATAATTCAATTGCATCTCTTTTATTTATAAAGATATCTTAAAAGTTTGATTTAATCATTTTTTAATTTTTTTGACTCATCAACTTTACCCTTTTTTAAGATGTTCAATTGTAAAATAAATTCAATACATGTCTTTTACTATGTGACTCTCCTGTTTGAATATTTGAAATATTCATCTTGCATATAAATATTTTTATGAGTTCCGTGCTAAGGAGGAAAATAGGCACATAAAATGTCACAGGGAAATCATCAATCTCTTTAAACGAGTCCAAATGTCTTGACCATCCATGCTAGTGGAGATCAACAATGCTTAGTTATTGCTACAGTATGGTCATTTTTTTGGATTTATAGTTTTGAGGAAGCAACAATTAGAGCAGCAGCAAAATGGCAGACAAGGCTGGAGATTCTCATTGAGGAGGAATTTGATGTTGTCATCCTGTCTCAATGAAACGTCCTCTTTGATACATTTTGAGTGTACTGAGAGACAAAAAGATTGTTTAATTGGTATGTTAATTTTGTGATTGAAGGGGCTTATTTCTGAGGAAAAAAATGGCTTTTGTTATGCAGATTGCAAGTATATTGCCTGTTGTTAGAACAATTAAGCTAAGCTGATGAACTCATGAAATCAGAACATTATTATTATGATCAGGTAAATTTTTAGTAGCATCATTAACAGAAATAGCAAGTGTAAAGCATCATTAACGTAAAGGTTAAATTTAACAAAATATTTCATTTTCATATTCGATCATCCTACAGTTTGACCCGTTTGAACATTCTTTGACTCATTCCCGAGTTGACTCAGTCAATTGGCTCCCTCGTTCCCACCCTTCCCTTCCTCCGTCGGTTGCTGGGTTGATTGAGCAGCTCTGCCGCGGCCCCTACTGACGCTCCGCACCGTCATCGCCGCCTGCTCCTGGGAACTCAGTTCCGGCATCTGCAACGAGATGACGGACTCGAAGGCCCCCGCGAGTGCCAACACCTTGTTCCGCCGCGCCGCCAGCTTGGTGGCCTTCTCCTCTATCACAGCATTGTAAGCCGGCAGCGGCTCGTTCCTCCCGTTCGCTGGCCCCTTTGGCGCCACCCCCTCTTCCTCACCCTTTTCCTTCTCTTGTGCCACTGTCTTGTCTCCTCCCACCTCGCTCTCCCGCTGCAGTTCCATCTTTCCTTCCGTCTCGTGTGAGACCTCGTCGTCGTCCGTCTTGGCTGCTTTTGGCTCTTCGCTCTCTACCTTGGCCTTGCTCTCGTGTGGCTGTTCTACCTCCACTTGTGTGCCCTTTGCCTGGTCTTGTGTTTGGGTTTTATCGTCGACATGTATCACCTTGTCGTCCTCCGATTTGGCCGCAGTGGTGGAGGTCGTGGCAGCGACGTTGGCCTTCCTGACCGGAACTGCTTTCCCGCTTGTTGGAGTCTTGAATGCCTTCCCCAAGCTTGGTTTCGGAGAGATCGCAGCCATGGAAGATCTCCCATCAGTTCTTCTGGTTCTCTCTTTTAAGCCGATTGCTGTCGTCACTGGAGATTTCTCGATTCCCGTCGTTCTCTTCTTTGAGCTGATTGCTGCTGTCATTGGAGACTTGGCAGCTCTGGTCCTTGCTCTCTCTTTGGAGCTGATCGATGCAGGAGTTCTTTCGGGCACAGAGGTGAGCAAGCGAGCTTTGTTGATGGAGCTTCCAGGCTTGGCAGAGCAGGTAGCCATGGAAGAGGCCTCGGAAGCTTGTTTCTGGCTCCTGGGATACCTGCAGCTGCCGACATGGCAGGAGCTTATGGTGGGCTTCAGATAGTTCGCTATCGTCTTCCCCGGCAGCTTTGAAACGTCCCCTTGGTGGGAGGCTCTGATGCCATTTCCTCCATTGTTGTCCCTCTCTTTCTGATGCACTCCTCTCTTCGCCATCGCCATGAGCTACTCGATACCTGCACGGAAACCACAGAAGGTGGAAGAATGATGAAACAGTTCAAGCTGATCTCGATCAATCAACATCAGACAACAAGTTTCAAGTTAGTGTTACCCGTGCCGGAAGGGGATCAAAGAATTGCTCTCAGGAGATCCACCGAGAGAGAGATGAAGGCTTCTCTTGCTTGCGAGGAAACAGTGGGGAAATAATAGAGAGGGATGAATCGGGTGGTTGGACCGAGTGGGAGTTCGTGGGATAGTTATTGGTCGGTTAACACAGCTACCATGTTCTAATACTGGGGTTGACCAGGTCAAAATCCGGTGTCTGCTTGCTGGAACATGCCATGACAAGCCCAATTTTGGGAAAGAATTAACAGCCAACTTATATGTATATGATATGATTAATTAAAAATACAGGGTTAAAATCTCGACTTAGCGCGCGCGCACGCACACACACACATATATATATATATTATCTAAAAATAAATATTTTGAAAAGATTTATTAATTGGAAGAATATTAATGAAAACTTGTGAAGCCTGTTTGATGATGGGCCTAACAATCCGAAGCCCAAACTCGGTCCGATTTAGTTAATGGACCTCGGTTTAAAACTACTTCACGGCCCAACCCATAAAAAATAAATAAATAAAATAAATAAATAAATAAATAAATATATATATATATAGAAAGAGGAGAGATGGGGATCGAACGGCTGTCGATCTCCCCTGCAAACCCTAACGCCGAGAGCGAACTCCCCACCGACCCTTTCGATAAAGCTCGCAACCGTCACGCTTTGGTCTCCTCGCTCCCCGAATCCATCGTGAGAGATCCCAAGGAAAGCCCTCTGATGCCAGTTGTGGTTTACTGGTTGATTTCGGTCTAGGGTTTAGGGAGCGATTGACGTTTGGTTTGATCTGTGTTCTTGGCAGAGGAGGGAGATGGCGGCGGAGGGGCCGAAGGCGGTGGTCCCGGAGTCCGTGCTGAAGAAGAGGAAGAGGGAAGAGCAGTGGGCGCTGGCGAAGAAGCAGGAGCTCGACGCCAAGAAGAAGAAGGCGCGCGAGAACCGGAAGTTAATCTTCGGCAGAGCCCAGCAGTACGCCAAGGAGTACGGATCGCAGGTGGTTACCGCTAATATGATTCTTAGTGTTAAAAATTTGATTTTTATCTCATTATTGTATCTGGCTCTAATGGTAGGAGAAGGAGTTGATCCGTTTGAAGAGAGAGGCCAGGTTGAAGGGCGGGTTCTATGTCAGCCCAGAAGCCAAGCTTCTGTTCATCATCCGCATACGAGGGTACGCCTGCTTTCTCTACTCATCTAAATGTATAGTCTATACGTAATGGATGGGTTTGCTTTGATATTTTAGATGACTGTTGCGTCTTATATTCCTTCTTTGCTATTGATTGTGGTAGTATAAATGCCATGCACCCGAAAACCCGAAAGATCTTGCAGCTCCTACGTCTGCGTCAGGTACAGATGTTAAAATTCATCATCACATGTGTAAATTATTGTAGTGTTTCTTTGTGTTTTATTAAAGAAACACAAATTATTGTAGTGTAAATTACATGATGTTAAAATTCATCATCACATGTCTCCTTGCAAACTGCTGTAGATATTCAATGGCGTGTTTCTGAAGGTGAACAAGGCTACGATGAACATGTTGCAGCGTGTTGAGCCATACGTGACATATGGGTACCCAGTGATGTCATTTTTAGACTATTATTGGAGTCTTTGCTAAGGCTTGTTGAGAGTCTGGTGTGGTTGTTATGCTAATTCTGAATTTGATGGCTTAGGTATCCTAATCTCAAGAGTGTTAGGGAGTTAATTTACAAGCGAGGGTATGGGAAGTTGAACAAGCAGAGAATTCCTTTGACCGACAACTCGATCATCGAGCAGGTATGTATTAGGATGCAGGGCCGGTGTGTGTTTCGTGTTCTTCCAACCTTTTATTCTTAAGTTTACATGGGGTTGTTCTTTGGTTGCAGGGCTTGGGGAAACATGGTATCATCTGCATTGAAGATCTTGTTCACGAGGTTATGACCGTTGGACCACACTTTAAGGAGGCAAATAACTTTTTGTGGCCTTTCAAGTTGAAGGCACCATTGGGTGGCCTGAAGAAAAAGAGGAATCACTATGTCGAGGGAGGTGATGCTGGAAACCGTGAGGATTACATCAATGAGCTTATCAGAAGGATGAATTAGTTATCTGAGGTTCACTTTATCTCTTTTATTATGAGAGGAAAAAAGCAGTCGAACTTAGATTTTTATTTTAGTTGGAATCAAGAGAATTAAAATTGTGCAATTTTGTTGTTTCAAGTCTAGTTTTGGTGTGTTTAGTTCTCCTTGATGATGATAGTATTCATATTTGTTCTAGTATTTTCGTTACTTCAAATCAGATGTCTATGCCTCGTGTGGTGAATTCTGATGTTTGTCTTTCTCAAATGCTCACGAGTTTGTGGTTTCATTGTATTATTGCATTGATAACAAAGTTGAGCGAACATCTTACAATGTATTCATATTGTTGCATGTAGAATATCTTGTTTTCTGGTTAATTTCTTTTTATGATCCTTCACATTTTCAGACGTGAGCACATTTTATATATCCATGCTTATTTATTCACACGGTAAACTTTCTCTACAATGGGACTATGATTAGTGATGAATGATGAATGATGATACACAACTTGTGAAGGATAGATAGCCTGCACTTGTGGACATTGCTACAATTAAATTGATGTGAATTTGTTCCTAAGACCAGACATACTTTTGCGTGTGGTTCTTAGTGGTCTAACGCAATCTTTCACTCCAGGCTTTGGATCGACATTAACAATGTAAAATTTCATGTAGCTGAGTCCAAATAGTGTTTGAGTTGTCGTCGTTGAATTTTTATCGGCTATTGATATTGGAATGCAGACCTCCCTGTACCTCTGGGCTGCCTCAAGCAATTGTGGACTGTTGCATAAATATGGTTAATTTCGGTCCGATTCAGGACAGGATGATTGCAGGACAAGTTAATACAGATTCTGATACCCTCTACCTTGTTTCAGTCAGCCCGATCCTTCAGCTGGCTAATGGATCAGGTGGGACTTGTTGCTTTATCCATGACTAGCTAGCTAGCATCTGTGAATGCTGTTTCTGATCGGTGCTCGTGGTTTATCTTCTGCCCTTCTTGATGTGGTTTTTAGTTTATATCTATCTGATGGGGCTCTGTTGCCTCTGAAACGTAATGTATTGTGTGTTTGTGCTGGTTTGACTCATCTTCTTATATTATACATATAATATTGTGTAGCGATATTTGATGCTAAATGATCCATCAAAAACATTATGCTTGCTTGCTTGGGGTTGCATCGGAGTGACTTATGAAGCTATGATAAATCAGAAAGACATTACAGTTTTAAAATATTACAACAGACTAATTTATGGGTTAGGAATTAAACGATGAAGGCATTGATTTGATCGTGGTATATGGTGCATCGTAAATGATTTTGATGATATAAACTAAATTTGGATTATTGATGGCAAAGTCCTAACATCAAATATTTCGTCTTCATCGTTTTAACTTCAAAAAAAAAAAAATCTATCGATCTTGTAAATTATCACAAACATTATCATGCAAAATATTCATCATCATTCCAAGCTCATAATGTAGTTGTTACATGATGGTCGAAGCCGAACACCACATCAACATCTCTACCCTCAAAAACCTAGAAAGGTAAGTGGAGACGCAACATTGGGAACTTACCGCATCTCGAGATTTGGATCAAGTCGGGTTGATCAACTCCCATGAAGACGACCACTGACGTTTGGGCCACAATGAGTACAACCGACGAAAGAAAGCTTAAATAGCCAACACGAACGCCAGTTATTCTTCTGCACAAAGAATCGTTCATACACATTCAACTGGAACAAAGTTGCAGTCGTTTGAAAATAAACCCTAGATGCCAGAAAGACTACGTTCTAAATTCTAAAACTATAGTACATGCACGTCGGATAAACAGCATCACACGTTATCGGAAAAGCCATGCGGGAGCGAGTCTCCCTGTTAGATCACTCGATCTCTTGCACTCCGTGCTTATTCATAAGCACGACACTTCTCATGATGTATCATGGCCATTAACACCCACTGCAATCGGCTGCGATCCGACTGCTTCCGCAGTGTTGTCCTAGAGAAAATGGAATAGTGTGTGTAAGTCAATGGGGGAATCAAAGTTAATTCTAATGTAAATGTAAATTCCATGATTCCACAAAAGAAATGCCAACAACAAACTTACCCCTTCTTTTGGTTCTGACAAGGCATTCGGAGTAGTCGGAGCTGGATTTTTCGAAAGATCCCTCATTGTTCCCTGCAGATCCGGCAACATGAATCAACATTAATCAAAAAGAGAAGTCGAGTTTATTTCACATGTATAAATAAGCAGAAAAACAATATGAATTTGAACTTTTTTTTCTTATCTATTTAACTCTTTTTTTTCAATGTCTGTAGAAAATGGCCAAACAAACCATCATGTTACCTTTATTGGAAAGAAATAGGGCTTATTAGTCATCCTAATATCTTGCAAAGGTATACTGAACTGTTATGTAATTACATACTCGACAAAACCAGCAAAATAAGGAATGCCATAGAAAAAGAGGATGGTGCACTTGATATTTTATCATATGTAACTCAATATGTATTGAACATGCATAATAGACAGAAAATAAGAATTGACTAGGTTGGGATCAATCTTTTCAAAAGTTCAGTACAGTGATCTAAATTAAGGTATAGGTCAGAATGAATTAGATTTGAAATTAAAAAGAATATAAAATAATCATGAAATCATCTAAATCACTTTTCCAGCTAAGGACCCCCCTGCAATATTCTTGAGAAACAAACAGCACTAGTTCATACTATTAAGACAATTAAAGTATCTACCTTGTTTGCCCACACAAGTCCACATGCATTACATAAGGTCCTTGGTCCATCAGGCCCACGGCGCATCATTGGTGTAGACTTTGCACTGATGCCACAGTGATGGCACCTGTTCAAATTCAAAAGACATCTACATCAGGTCTTGAAGCTTCAGAAAATTTCCAATATTGCATGCATCATATATTGTATATAAATGGACTAATTGAGAAACACAGACAATTCATGATGACTGCTGATTACCATTTTTTTCTCTGATGCTAATCATCAAATAGATATTACATAGGCACCAAATTAAAGATATTCAACTGATAATTTGACATAATTAACATTTAATGTACAGAAATACACCTAGCCTGTCGCCTGAACCAAACATATCAAGCTGATGTTTGTATTAGCAACGAGTAATTGCTGACTGGAGTTCTCGAAAAGTGATTTGTATTAGCATCTGGGCTTTGGTGTTAAGTAATTTTCTTCACTTTCAAATTCGACCAACATTTGGACATTTTGACTCTTCTAATTTAAAAATTGGATTCAAAGTACTAAAAACAATTATCTAATTAGAAAATTTCCAGCATATTCTTCTCTCTCTATAACAACTTAAGTTTTTCTTTTAAACAAACTAATTCCACAACTAGCTACCTCCTATATTGTCTCAACTACCAAAATTTCAAACTTGTGAAAAATTCAAGAAAATTGAAATCACTTAAAATAACAAAACAAAATCAATTTGAACTATGAGTATTTAACTAAATGATGTTATAGTGAAACTGGTAGTCGAGTCCAAAACTTACGCAGATGCTCCCGGGGTCTTGTTCTCTGGTGAACCCCAATTTTGGTTTGCATCAGTAGTGGTAGCACCACCAGTGGAATCTTCAGCTTTCGATTTGGATGATGTAAATTGACCCCTGTTTCTTTGCATCCTGTAAGAAGTTCAAAGAGAAATTAAAAATCATGGCAAAACTAACAGCAAGGAACAGAGAGAGAGATACAATTGTCTATAATTGTAAACCACAATCTTGGCAAAACTAATAAGTCACAACAACTGGTACACATCAGTGGTATATGATTGTAACCTACACTACTAGGCAAATAGCTTAACATGCAACACTTGTATATGTCACATTCTTACAGTTATATGCAGCCATTACATACATGTAACAATGGTCATGCACCCAATATGTTTCCCCTTACAATAACAATCAAAAGATATGTTTCTATCAAAAACAAAGTCAAATCTTTTAGTATTATTAACAGAAAAGTGAAAAAACATATCGACTCTTCTAAATACTATAAAAAACAACGTCACCTCTGTTATTATTATTATCAGAAAATTAAAAGCATATCCACTCTCATTATCATTTTTATATTGGGTAGTGAGTAACATAATACATTTGTATAAGAGGGATTTTTATGGTATTCTGTTGATAATTCAATCAAAAAGTTCCCAAACAACTGTCATCTCTCTCAGACAGGACACCACAAACTAATGGAATCCAATTATCATCCTTTATATCCAAGACATAACCAGGGACTTAGATCAAACTTCCTGATTTTTCATCAGCTCCATTAATTACTTCCCTGATCAGGAAGGTTAGATGGAACTGTTCTTTACTTCATTAGGTATCAAATTAAAAGCAAAACCATCCATAGTAAGTACATAATCAGCAAACCTTTGCAAAATCTACTTTCATTTTACTCATGGTTGATTTTTCTGCAAATGAAATTTTCAACAAAGAGTACACTGGCAAAACATGTGAACTTGCCTCAGGCTATTAAGAAACACTTGTAAAACAAAAGCAGTAATGATTTAAGATAATGCGACCTCCTACCTCAGTGCGACCTCCTTCCGAACAGTGTACCGTATTTTCTTTTCAAAATTTCTCTCTTTCCGCTTCTCCCGAAAGCGCATCAAGGATGCAACCCTATGGGGAATATTCACACGCTGTCATGTCACAAAGCAACTCAACTATTAGACACTAAAAATGCCCGCGTCATGAACTAATTGACATGCTGGGAGTCGTAAAAGATACCCTGTTTTGTACAGAAGTTGACGGAAAAGGATTCAGGCCAGTATGCATCTCACGGCCTCCAAGCAACAAGAGCACGGCTTGAACCTACGAAGTTAAACAGACAAGAAACAAAGAGAAACACGAATTTATTCAGCAAGATTCTATCTTTGAGACTGAAGGTAGTCAATCACATACGAGGTAGAAAAAACGTCACCTTTTCTGGCGAGACGGAATCGAAAACATAAACATCGCCTTGGAACGACAGCGTGAGCTGATTCCCGCCCACTTGCGGCGAGATCAGGGTTTGGGCATCACCCAGATGGCTCGGATCAGACGGCCCTTCCGTCTCCATCCCCTCGTGATCCATGGCCCCAACCCCGTCCTCCTCCATACCGTGGCCGACGCTGCCACTGCTGTGATCCGCATCGTGGTACTGCTGCAAGGCCTGCGCGTCGGCGGCAGCGATCAACTCTCCGTTACGGCCACTGGCACCATCGATGTGGGCCGTGAGGGCCGCGGACGGCAGGGCCTGGTGGTCGGCCGCCGTTATATGGATGTGGTGGCCCGGGTGCTCGCTCATCCCTGGATCTCTCTCGCGGGCTCGAATCCTCCCCAGCCTTCCAAATTTTGGTGAAAGAGATCAAGAAGACAACCAAAGGACGAGATTTACTGACAACAAAACCACGGATCCCTCAGTAGATTTGGGATCGATCGACCAGTTGGAGCATCGGGCCAGCAACCCACTACCTCCGGAAATGCCAACCATTCAAAAGCTTTCAGAAGGATAAAGGAAGAATCGATCGAAGAAGAACCCTAACTTGCTTCAACCAATCTGAGACCGAGGAAGCCCTAGAACGAGAGGGAGACGACAAAGTTATGTGCGCATACTAACATAGAATCATATGCGGACGGCAGATCCGACGACTCCAGTCCTTCAATAAATCACACTCGTCCGTTAAGCTGAGGCATCTTGATTCCACCATCCCACAGAATTTGTATGCGGACAATAAATCCGTCCGTTCATCTCTAAAAATATCAGTTTCAGATCATTATGGACGGTCAATAGCACCCGCGTAGAGATTTATTTGTACCAGCTTGCATACGTCAGTCCGCACGCTAACGAAATCGACGCCGCTCGTACCATACTCCGAGCGTACGTGGCGAACCCCACCGCGGAGATTCCTGTGCGGCGCGAGTTACGTGGACGGAGGGGATGCTTTCGAGGCGAGAACCAACGGTAGATCGAAGCTTTTTATGAGGCTATTTATGCGGAATTGTGACGTCCGTAATACGTCAGTGCCAGCGAGTTGATCTAGTCTGAGATAACGGCCACGTCATGCATTATGATTACCGCGGTAAACTTAAGTCGTTGGATTGCTGATCGAGGAGGATCCGGTTATTCAATAAATATTTTAGGGGTAATTCTGTCAAACTGGGGATCAGATCTGCTGTTTGGATCCGATCCAAAGGATTGTTGGTTCTGGTTTCCCTCTTGCCCTTTGACTTCTTTTCTTCAAATCATTCGTCGGCAAGTCTCCTATTGGCAAAGAGTGCTGGTCCCACTGACATGGGCCACAGTCGGCTCCAACGGTAAGGAAGGTGGGTGAGCGGGTGTCCATGATAATTGTCCTTTGACGACCGCCAGCGCTGCGTGCAGTCCAACGCCGCTCCCGCGATTTCTTCTGCGGAAGGACGAGAAGGGTTAGGGTTAGGTCTGCGATGGTGGAGGGAGAAAGGTCGGCGGTGACCGACGAGGCGTCAGCGGCAGAGGGGAGGGTGGAGGTGGGACGGCCCGCGGTGTTGCTCGTGTGCGGGAGCCTGGTGTACTACCACTGCGCGTTCCGCGGGTCGAGTCTTCTATCCCTCGTCTCCGATGTCCTTATCGTTCTCCTCTGCTCCCTCGCCATCCTCGGCATGCTGTTACGCCAGATGAACATCTCGTAATGCGCCGTCCCCCTCCATCTTTATATCATTTAGTAATTTATTGTCAGTTTATGATCGAAGTTGATTCCATCGATGAAGATTTAGTTTCTCCAAACGTAAAGTTACCAAAAATTAGTTTTTGCGATATACACAGTTAAATTTGAGATTTTATTGGAAACAATTGCAAATAGGAGTTATTGCATATTTGTGCTGATAAGTAATGATTATGTTAGAGCTTCTTGTTTAGCATCTTCCACTGATTTTTTCAATGAAGAATGATTGGTGGAGCAACTCATAACTGTCTAAATCATTTTCTAAGACGGGGAGGAGTTTCCTTATAATCTTAAATTAGAGTTCTGCTATGATCAAAAGGTGGAGAAATGAAGAAAATTTAATCCTCAGTTGTGTTTTTTATTGGTAGTGTGACTTTGGCATGGATGCCAATGTATTGTTCCTTGGCGTTGAAAACCCTTGCAGTTGATACACTTGTGATTTAAAAAGGGACATTTCGAGGTTTCTTAATAATTCTCAAATATGTTTATTGAAAAGAATAATGGCTCTAAGTGTCACACTGATACTTTCTTGCTTGAGTTTTGTCTTCTGATACTGAATGGTTATATCTTATTTCTGAACTTTATGATAAGAGGTTTTTCTTTGCTAATGCATCCATATCTTTCATGAATCTTCTTAGGGTACCTGTGGATCCTCTTGAATGGCAGATATCACAGGACATGGCCAACACCATTGTTGCTTGCTTGGCCAATACAGTTGGAGCAGCAGAGTCTGTGTTAAGGGTTGCCGCAACAGGGCATGACAAGAGGCTGTTCCTTAAGGTAATTATCTCAGAGCTGCATGATATTGTGTTGTGGCAACTACTTGTGATTTCTTTATTTTATCATCATGCTAATTTGATGGACACTACTATTTTGTTATTGAAATTCTTTGACCAGTTTTTTCCTCTAAAATATTAGCACATTTTTTCTGGTCGGGATTTAAAGATAGGCTGCCTTCCATTCCTCTTAAATGAAGATTCTGTCATTGTTTGAAGATGTTAAATATGTTTTCCATACTTCTCCTTCAGCATGTAAGTTTGAAGGTAGATTTTTCACACTGTATATGCATGACTAAAGTAGGATGCTACTTTTTAGTTTAGTTATTGCTATCAATAGGAGTGTAGCGAAAAAGTAGATAATCTTAAAAATAAAATTTACTAAACAAAATAATAAGGTTTCTCTTATACATAGTGATTTTGACGTCTATACATAATTATAACCTCTAACCAAAAGAATAACACACATGCATAAAATGTCCAAAATTTATACATATAAATTTGTCGACAGGTCATAGTCTATATGTGCACTAGCATGGGCTCGCACATTCTCACTTCCCTGTCCAATCGCTTGGGTGGAGTACTAGTATCCTTATCTGCAAAATAAGAACTATAGTGAGTAATCACTCAGTGATTATATGTCTTTATAGCTTTATTTAGGTGAGCATGTATTCTATCATGTATACAACATTTTAAAATCATAGGCATAAGATATTTAATAGTAAACACATCATCCTATGACTTCTTTAGCAAGCATAACCATACAACATAGTATATGCACAATGAAAAGATAAAATTTTACATCGAAATAACTTAAAATGCTTATATGCACATGTAAGAATCATGGCACATTCATGGACTCCTACACCCCATATCATAACCTATATGTGCATTCTCACACTACACATCATCATAATATATACGTGCAATCTCATACCACATATCATCGTAATATATACGTGCACTCTCATATCACACATCATAATACATATGTGCACTCTCACATTGCATGTCATAGCATATATATGCATCAGACATCGTAACACATCCGTGTATTTTCACATTGCACGTTATAGAAAATATGTGCACTCCCACACCACACATCATCATATATATACATTCATACAATACATTTTCATCGTAATTCATATATTTCTATACTTACATAATATGTATATTAACATTGAGCTCATGCCTAGCTCATGACAATCATATTATTCAAAACATGCTTTCCAAAATGCATTATGAATATAATAATTTATACGATCTCTATTTTACAGTGAATTAAACTTATACTTACCTGATTTAACCCCAAATGAAGATGACAGTGAAAGACCACATTCCTTAATGACCACGTGTACTAAGAAGCGGTACACCTATCAAATTAGGAGCATTGGGTCATGAGATACCTTAATTAAAAACCCTACATCTTGAATTATTGATTTGGAATAATCCATAGCGATAACTCAAAATTTTTTTGATAAAATCCCTTCTTAAATATACTATACTCAACTTGAAGATTTATCTAAATTTGACCATTAATTTTTCAACAATTCATTCTATAATAAATTGAACTAGTTAGTATCAATTAAATCATCGCATAATTCTGTGAAGCTATTTTACTTCACTATTCTAACTGACCAAGTGATCTTAATTTCCATAAAATTTTACAGAAAACTCATATAAAACAAAATACACATCAAATTTCAGCTTAAAACATAATTACTTGGAGGCTAAACTATTCTCCCAATTCAACTATCAATACTTATTTTGTTATGCTAAAATTGGGTTGGGATTATTTGAACTTATATCTTGGTGCACAGAGATGGTATTCATTAAATTCCAAACCCACATAACCCTAAGGGAATCTTTTAAAACATATCAAAAGAATAAAGCCTAATCATATCCCTAAGGGGGTTCATTCAGCTCAAAAAGGACCCCTTCTCAATAAACAAGAGATTCTGAATTTCTCAGATTGAGACACTCATAAGTCTATGCACTAATCTTAGATTAAAGTTATACCAGAGACCTTAGAACCATAAGAGATTTATACAAAACATATCAAAAAATCAAAGATTAATTCGAAGCCTAGGTTACTCAAAAGCAACTGAAAAGATCAGTTTATAATTTGTAAAATTAAAATCCTAGGTATAGCAAGGGAAGAATTGAGTTTTTTTTTACCTCGGTCTTCCTTAGAGTTGGAGTTTCTTTGCCTCCATTAAAACATAGTGAAAGCTGAGAGAATGGCTAAAGAAAGAGAGAAATGATCATAGGTTATCAGGTGGGTAAGAAGGATGAGGCCAAAATAGGGTAAAGGTGTTTAAGAGGCTACCTTGAGGTCTAGGGTTCAATCTTATTAAATCTCATTTCAAGTTTTCTTTTTTCTTTTCTTCTTTTGATAATATAATTTTAATATTGCAGCAATTTCAATTGAGTCTTATTTGGTTTGACGAGAATGACATGTTTCGATCTAAATTCATCCTTCAATCACACTTATGGATCTCAACATTTTTAGTGTCACACATTTTTAATTTTTATTTTCATTTAATTTTTCATTACTCCATCCATGCCTAAGTAACCTATTATTCTCTACCTATATGATGTTTAAAACTCAAAACTTTTTATTTTAATTATGGTCAAATTCATCCAGCCTTAAGATTCACTTAAGGTCGATTATAATTCAATAATCACTTTTAATCACTATATGCATATTTATTATCATAACTTAACCTCATACTTAAGTCCACTAGCATACTTAGGCTTGTTGCGTCGAACGACCGTGCCTTTTTGCTATAAAATATTCTTAAAGTAGACATTTATGCTTATACATGCTTAACCAACATTTTGTAGAATACTGTGAATCAAGGTCTGTCATATCGAAGCGTACCGCTCGATACGGGCAGTACGTACCGGTTCGACAGGTTACCGATACGCGGACCGCCCGGTACCGCTACAGTGCTACAATATAAAAATATAAAATTATTCGGTACACCAGGGTGTACCGCTCGGTACGCCCTGATGTACTGCTCGGTACACCAGTACCGTACTGTACCGAGCCTGAGTCGAAACGTTGGTACGGTATGGTACGGCGAACCTTGCTGTGAATAATATTTTTGGAAAGTATGTACTTCAATCTTAAAAATTGAAAACATGAGCATATCATTTATCATATTTATAAAACATAAACATCATAAATCATATTACCAAGTGAGGATAACATATACATATTATTTGTGCTTCTATTAGCATGCTAGTTATAATTCAGTATGTGTAAGACTCGGGCACTACAGTTTTCTTATTTCAATTTGTCTCCAATATGTAAAATATTCTACTATTTTTTGCCTCTTAATATCACCCAGCCTTCTCTAGTTTGTACCATTTCAGTTTCAGGCATCTACAAACTATTTCTGTGCGGCAAATGGTTTGTGTATCATATCCGTGATTGACTTGCTGAAAGGTTATTATACTGGTCTGTCTCAGTGATGATTTGGAGTCATGAATTAACTCCGACTTTGTATGTTCTTAAGCCAGACAATGAAAGTTCTACTCATCAAGCCAATTACTGAAATTTTAACTAAAGACTCTTAATCCAATTGCATTTTTCACTTGGTTTTTTTTATTCTAGTGGAATGCAATACTGGCCATCCAATATGATCTGAGTTAACCTACCATGAGATAAGCACTATAACCGTTTTTTTCAAGCCAATTTGTTCTTCTCCTCTCCAAAAGCCTTTGGTTGAATGAGCTAGAAGGATGGCTGCATGGGACTTCATCATACAGAGGTTTTCTTTAAATGGATCCGGTTCACTTCCCACCGATTGGATTCCTTTTTGTTGGTCCCTCGTTTGGAACCTTTACAGGATGCTAGATCATAAAGAAACCTCCTTTTGACTATTGATAGATTATTTTCACTTTCTTTTTCCTTGATTAAATTATGTGAAACCTAATAATTGAACTTAGTATGCTAGCTTTACACCTTTGAGCAGCTACATGTCTTGATTGCACAACCTTGTTTTCAATTTGGAAATATTAAGATTCTTTATACCTTCCAAGCACTGACTTGGTAGCCCCTCACTTTGCACTTAAGATTTTGATTTTTAGCAGAAACTGATCCAAACCATTAGCACGCAGAAGGAAGATAGTTTTCGTGTGTCTTGGGTGCCTGGTACACCTCTGCATCGAAAGGCGCCATAATATGATTATTCATCTTACTTGCATTTCAATTTTTTATTTTTTGAACTTCTACTGAGCTCTCATCTGAATTAAATTAAGGCAGAACAAATGCAACCAACTTTTCTGCATTACCTTGCAGTCTCTTTATTTTGCAGGTGGTTCTCACTCTCTACCTCTTGTCAACTTTGGGACGAGCAGCTTCAGGTGTTACAATTGCTTATGCTGGTAAAGTTCGAACGATGTTGCTCTTTACTCTTCAATTTTGTTAACTTACCGTCTTAACTTCACGTGAGGGTTATGGTTTCTACGTGAAATTCAAATTAGCCCTCATAATGACATTGCGAATCATCTATGAGTTGTAACTTTGCTTTCATTATCTTCGACTACGGTAAGCTGATAACCGTACAGATGAACTGATCATTTATCCTTGTGCAACAGGATTGTGCTTGTTATGTCTCTACTTCTTTGCGCGAAGTTTGGAGCTCATATCCAGGTGCACTTCTCAGTTCTCCAAGAGAAGCGACTCTTCAGCCGGAGATCAAGATGTCATGTAACATTAACATTTACACATTTACCTTCAAGACTCTTTCTTCAAAGGTTGATTCCAATTTCTATGGACTGCTTCCAAAAACTCTGGTTAATTCCATTTGGTTCACTGCAATGTGACTGTGTATACACATTTACATTATGAAAGATAACTCCAGAAAATAAATACCATCTCTTATGTTTTCATGTATTCCACCTTACAGCTCTTAATTGAGGCTATGGTCATGAGTCATTTCTAGTGACTGGGTTTTCTCAGCTCAAAGTTAGATTTTCTCCATCTCTTGCATCATTTTAGTGGATAGGTGTAGTGTGCTCAATGTCATACTATAAGAATCTAATATTGCTTGAATGGAAGGAGTAAATTAATTAGAAAATAAATATCAACTACAGCATTTGAGCAGATCATGTGGTTCCACACATCCAATTGATCAATCAAGTCAAGAAAGGAAGATAACTTTTTCTTTCTTATGACTACTTTCACATCATTAATGATCAGGCAATTTAAAGGATAAGTGGATGAACAATTTCAGTGAAGAAATAAAACATTTTGTCTTGTGGTTCCACACATCCAATTGATCAATCAAGTCAACAAAGGAAGATAACTTTTTCTTTCTTATGACTACCTCCACATCATTACTGATCAGGCAATTTAAAGGATAAGTGTATGAACAATTTCAGTCAATAAATAAAACATACAAGGAACAAATTATTGGGACTATCAACACATACAAGGATCAAGAATGTCATCACTCCTAAATAAAAGCAAAATATTACACTTACCTTGCTCCACTACCTCTTCTTTTCATATTCTTCTGCATTTCCTTCTTCAGAATCATAGAAAAAATATGCATAAGAATCATAGAGAAACAGTCACTAACTTTCACAACAAAGCATCCATGCTAATGCACAGTCTTCCGAAAACAAACTGGTAAAAGAGAATGATATTTTTCACATTGGAACAATGGAGTCGAGCAATAAACTTATACATAGCCACTTTGTTCCAGTTGTTGGTTTAAACATAGCAGTCCCTGAGGAACAAGTGGACGAAAAACAAAAGAAGTAACAAAGTTTAAATGTGGTGAAATATGTGTCGTGTTGTAGTGGTTTTGCGATACCCTACATTGTATGGAACATTCAATATGACATATACAGCTCAAATGAATACTTGTACATAACATGAACCAACTTAAAGTAGGCTGGATCGAATGTGTCTTGATGGCATCGTTGGTGCAGGGAATAAACACAAAGCAATTCCTCAGACACTTTAGTACAAGCCTTGACTAATCCCCGTGATGGATAGGCGTCAGTGAAGGACATCATGCAGCATAGACAACAGAGCAAGTGGGTAACTTCAGGCTGGAATTAGAGATCTTGCACGTATTATTTTGTATGTGCTATGGAAAACAACCCACTTCTGACTCTTAATGATGGTGCAGAACTTGTGATCTGCTGCCAGAAAAGGTTAACTACCAAGAAGAAATATCTAGAACGGTTTTGGCACACTTGTAAAATGTATCTATTGAGCAGAAATCAAATGCTTCCTGCGTCACCCTTTAAGATTTCAATCCATCATATCATGTGTAAGATCTGGTAGGAGCACCTTCCAAAGGCAACCTGCACTCACAATTCAACCAACATGCAGAAGCATTTTCTTTAACTTTTTGAAGATTAACACAATCAAGGAACTCAGTAAATGACATAATTTAAGCAAAGTCTTCTCCAGGAAACACAAAAAAAATTCATAGGTATTAAAGCAGGGACTAAGGAATCACTCCTTATGGTCACTATAAAAAGCAAGTCTCCATAAAACACGACAAAGTGTTCTTTTTTAACTTCTAATAATCCTATCTTTACTACTAGACATCCTAGCAAGACTAAAATTTAGTGTCATGTAAATTACAGATTTTGGTTTTTCAAGTAAATTCTGCATCTACCTTTTGCCTCTGCTAAATCAGACATTTGATAGGCATCAAGAAATTATTCAAGTTTGTACTAATGCAATGTTGCAGGTCACAACTAGACATATGTCAGCGGACAAAACTGAAATGCTTGGCCCATTTGAAAAATGAAACTATTGACTAGAAATCGATCAAATCTAAGATACTAAAACAAAAGAACCCATATAATTTGTGTTGACAATTTTAGGCATGATGTATTTACTTACTGGTAAACATATGTACTGCCAATATGAAAGTACTTCTGTTTTTGGTACTCTGAAATTAGTAGAATCCCTTGGAAAGAAAATTGATAGAAATATGGTCACAGATTTTGCAATTGGAACATCAGAGGGAGGCAAAAGTTGGTGGTCATCGTTATTGTAAAGACTTTCAAGGCCAATTGTCTTGCAGGGGCCTAAGGACAGTCATGGAGCTGTAGAGAGTAGAAAATTCATTTTAGAAGACAATCCAAATAGTAATGATCAAACATGTTTTTCACGTAGGTTTTAGGTATATCTTTTCAAGAATAAAAGGTAGAAATAATGCCACACACATGTTATTTCCACATTTTCTCATTCTTATTCAGTTTAAGCAGCAGTTTTTGCTAAACAAATCATATATGATCTTACCCAACTAAAAAGTGAGAACAAGATGGCTGCGACTAATGCCGCTTCATTTCTTGGAAAATATTAGACACATTTGGGGACAGCCTCGGAAGGAACCTGAATAGCTGCACAGTGGACAAGACAGTCAGTATGGAGAGTAAATATTGATCCTTAAAGGTCAAATTGAGACCAAAGAAATAAAAACTGGTATTTAAAATAAATTAAATAATATTATGTCCCAGAGTCTGGAACAGTGAGTTATTGAAGTGAAACACTTCTTATGCATATTGGGAATTACAATGGTACTCCATATGATGGCATCAAAGGTGACAAAGTCTCAGCATTCCTAGTATTAATAGCTAATAGACATGCACTCATTCGTGTCAACATTCATATGACACAAAAATTCCAGAAAATTATCCAGTTACCGACAGAATATTTACCAGAAGTACACATTTCAATAGGTGTCTGGTTAGTACATATATTTACATGTATCAATGCAGTGATAGCATGCATTTTATTCTGTTGAAAGAGAGTCTGCAAAAGCTACTTAAAGGACCTACCCAAAGCTTCACACAGGCATCAATCACAACTGGAACTGAGCAAATGAAAATGGTTATTGCAGCTTTATCAATTTCAAGCCCATAATGCTCAAGAATAATCTCTATCAAAGCCTGCCAACCAGACTCAGAATGATACCTGCATTTGGGTGTTTTTTCAGTTATTAACTAAATAAAAATGTAATTCTTATTGTAACAAGCATGATCTACATATGAAAGTGTGAATATACAACACATTATAGAATTGTTCATCAATGCAATTCAAGAATTAAGAATAAAGTGATAATTGGTTACTAGGAAAATCTAGTGCACTGTTTGTTGTTTAATTCACCCAAACAAAAAGATGACCTTAAAAAATCATCTTTAGTAGGAAAGAAGGCTTAAAAAGGAATCAAGAAGTTTGGATTAGGACTTAAGTTTCATGTCAGGAATAATATACATGTTTGGTGCTGGTAACCATTGTTGTGTATTTTGATAAGCTTCACAATGTTTCAGCTGATCAACTGAACCTCACAAGGTTGTATATATGAAGCAGATATGTTCTTATTCAGCATGATATTTATACAGAAATTGACAGAACTGAAAAAATAAAAATTTTAAAAATGGGACTGATGGTAAAACTTTGCACTTTGCAGAAAAGATTGAAAAATGCTACCTTACAGAATCAAGCTTCAGCTGCTCAATTACTTTGACGAGTAGCATAAAAAGCAAGGAGAACACTCTATAGTAGCACAAGGTTTCATAAGCACACAAGGAACTGGTGGTATTCAAATTAATGAAATAGAAGTATCATGAACAAGCATCACAACATTATCACTTTACAAATTTGGAAGGACTCAAAGATGATATAGCATTAGCAACCCAAGCAATCATTAGTACCCATAATAAAAATATATGAAAAAATAATTGACAACTAATTGGTAAAGGATAACCTTATAAAAATTTAAAAATAGAGAAAATAAAAAATGGTAACTTTTATCAATGTGGACGTTCAATAAACTTTTGTTGTTCCTGGATATAATTATGATAGATGAGATCAGGATCCATTGTGACAAGAACGTCAAGACATGTTTATTATTTAAAGTAAACCAACCAAATATGCTTATACAGATTGTGTTGTATCAACAAAGGGGCTTCATGGTGAAGATCCATGACACATATGGCTTTATTTGACACCATGATGTTTGGTCATATCAGTTCAAATAAACAGCCTTTAGCTTTCAATTGTGAAGGAATTGGAGCAAATAAGTGCATAAATTCAAATACCTTACCCCAAAAAAATATCTGTGATTAAAATAATAAGGAATGCTTTCCCTGTGTCTGAAATGTTATTTAGTAGCTTATATCCTGTAAACTTTAGCAAAGCAACCTGAAGAAACAAACGCAATTAATATGAGAAATCTGTAGATAATTTCCACAGTAACATACACACAGTGAAGCACACAAACAAAAAGGAGAATGCAACCTAAGGAAATATAGCATGCAAGCATTACCATCCCATCTTCTATAATCAATTGACAACAAAAATACCACAATAGAGCAAACACCAAATTACGACTAAAACAAAATAAATTTGTCAAGTAAATTTGAGTATCATGTGAACTAAACCTTAAAAACTGTACCATGTGATATTAAAAAAGTCAAAAAATTTATGTCCGAACTAATAACTACATCCAGAGGGCAATTATCCTCACCTTGACTTCTGCCCATGGTCAACTGCTTGACACTTCAACTGTGTTACCATTTGATAAAGCCTAATGGTAGAGAGCACTCAGAGCAGTACATGTATTTTTAAGATCTTGTTATTGATGTTCCTAGACATCAATTGGTTATTAACTAGACATTGCACCAGATTGATTTAAAGTATGCAATTTATACTAGATCCAGTCGATCCTGTGCCTCATCCCTCCATGGTTGTTAAAGCCACTTAAATCATATCAAGAAATGATTACACAAATCAATGGCTTAATTTTACCATATAAATACAATTACAGATATAAACCCTTGAACCCAAATAAAAAATGTGTATAGATACCCTATAAAGATCAATGCGAATTCTCTGAGGCAAGTAGACTTATTGGGTCATGTACTAAGTAGCATACTCACTTTGCTCTTATTGAAGTAGATAAGAATGAATAATGTGATGCTATACACCATGTCTGACCAAATGTTTGCAAATGCTTTTCGGTTCTCTAATCTCCATTCATCTCTTAGATCTATCCTGATAAAACAACAGAAACAAAATCATAGATATCATAACATATTTGAGAAGGATCTAATGTAATAGATAAAGTTCCAACTATCCAATATAGAAGTAATATTTTCCAGCCAGTGGATAATTACGTACAATTATTACAATGTATAAAGTGGAAAACAAACAAGAAAAGCAACCGTAAAAGAGATATATAGAGAGAGAAAACCATAATGAAATATATCTATAAAAAGGATGCTTTATTAGACTACACAGGACAATTGGCTTAATCTAAATAAATAATATATCAGTAAATTAGCACATGTTATGGGCCCTCAACAAAGTATCCCCAATGACTTGATAAATCTTGACTGCAAAAAAGATAACTTGAGCCTTGGTGCAATGATAGAATAATTGGAAGTTCACTTGTCTCCCCAGTATGTATTCCAGTCACCATTGCTCTAACATGCTGCATGCACAGCCTTCTTACTGATTACTTCTAAATGGAACATTATAACAACACTAACAACAACATGATATAATGTCTTAACAACAACAAACTATAATGTCCAATTATTTGCGAGTGGCTATATGGATCTTTTCAGCCTTAAGTTTGGTTTATGACAATTCCATTAATCAATCTAAGAGCAATCAATTTTTTTATTATTCATAATATAGTTTATTAGGTTTCTCTCTCTCTCTCTTTGCATCACTAATCTTAAAGGGCTCAACTAGTCTAATCGGTGCATCTATAGGTCTTCTTTAGACATGCACATATAATCTTGAAATAGTTTTCTCTCATCCTATCATATGTCAGAATAACAATATGTAATTGTTCATGAATATAAGCATACTATGCTAATGTTTATTTTAACCTCACACATATGAATCAATATCTTCATCTCAGAAGTTTACATATTGTTTCCTAACTGCCAAACATGTTAGGCAATAAAGCATAACAGCCTAACTTTCTTGTTGTTTCCGCTTAATCTAAGGGGTACACAACAATCATATAAAACTGTCAATGTCACTCTCTACACTAATCAGTCTGCCTAAATCTATGAATGATATTAAATTCCCCTTTCTACTGAATTATATGACCAAGATCTTAAAAACTTCTACTTCAAGGAGCTGTTTCATATTGAACTCTCAAGTCTCAACTCTTTTCTTGGCATTATTAGGTTTACACTTCAGATATTCAATTTTGGACCTTTAGTCCAAATGGTGGAATGGAAAACAAACATGTGTAAGTCATGATATATGTAACTTCTAAAAAAAATAAACCACTCACTTCCAATGTTATATGTAACTCTATACATTTACAAAAATATGCAAGCCAGTGCACCTGAATATACTCCTTGGTAAAAGAGATCCAGATGGTTCAGAAATTAGTGGACTTATCCTCAGGTCATCCTGTCACTTTAATGTTCTATTGCCTTCAGAGATGCTTTTTGTTTGGTGCATACTACATATCTTGTTTTGTACTAGTAAAATAACTATAAGCAATCATTGGAAACACAATAAATAAGCTAACTGAAACCAACAAAATTAGATCAGAATGATAAAGATAAACATGGGTATATACTATCTTTACCTGAGAAAAAAGGACTTATGGCTAGAAAAAAATCGATGTAATAGACCCTAAAAACAGTTGGGACATTATGGCTTGTTATTATTGTTGTTGTAGAGGGATTTGAAAAGGAAAATGGAACATAGGTACTGCAAACATTACAAACATGGGTATTCACACACTTAGAGGCCCATGAACAATCCTCATTAACATTATACACAATTACACGTTACCCAAAAAGTATCAGAATTGTTCTACCACTACTTAAATAGAAGGTGCACTAGATTATATCAATCTTACGCTTTGTGCCGCAACTCCACCCAGATGTCTTCATCTGAAAGAGGAGGAGATTTACCAATCTCTACCTCTAAGCGCAATCTTGCTCTCTCAAGCTTTAAAGTCTTTATCATCTCAAGTTTTTGTTGTCTCCTAACATCAAGCATCTCAGCAGCAAGTGGTACGGTCTTCACATACCTATTATACACAAAAAGGGAATTCAAACATGTTCTCAGTTGATTAAATTTACAGATTTAATGGAAGGAAACCCATACCAAGAAGACTTCCTTGTTGGTTTAGGCACAAAACTCACAAACAAGCATGAAAGTCACGCTGGATTGCGAAAGGGATACAAGCATTAGTCAAGGGCAAGTCCAAGACCCATGGTTGTGCAAATATAGACACAGGACTGGCCCCAGCCTATATTTGTATGTTTTCCATGTTTGCTAGAGTGGAACAAGAAGTACTCTAATGCCATACCTTCCTGGAATAAATAATTCTGAAATTGTAGAACTAAGGTATGATCATGCAAAGAAAAATTTTACAGCCAAGAGGCATTTTAAGATTTATTGAACATGTATATGAAGTAAAACCACAGGTAACTAGCTTATCATCATGCTCCTCTTAGCTGATGGCTAAATATGTTCTAAGTTCATGAAAATAGACAAAGCCGCTTATTTGTATCTTGTTTGTTCTCCATAATATTTTTGCTGCTTCTCAATATTAAATAAGGTTTTAACACAAATAATGGTATAAGAGCAACAACAAAATTACAATATAAACAACACCAAATTTGATATACAATCAATTTACAGAAATTACCTGTCTAAGAATGGCATCAGGACAAAGTCATGAACCACAAAGTCCAATGCCCATGGAACGAGAATCAATAAAGCAACAAATTTTGCCTGCAAGCAGTCTATTGCATCAGTAATGGTTGTCACAAAAGACAAATAATATTATGACATGACCTCAACCACAAGTCTAGTAACAATTTACCATAAGCAAAAAGCTAACAAGATCTCAGAGGCTAATTAACCAGAAATATTAAATAAGCTATGTAGACTATGCTTTAAGAAATGATGAAATTCTAAAGAGAATGTAATATGCATATTTATGTTTCTGCCCTTTTCCTAGAAGTGTAGAACAGTGTAGGTTCAATGTACGAAAACTGTGACAATCTTGCTTTGTATAAATTAGTTGCTAACAAGTAAATATATAAGCATTACAATATGAGATGCACAAATTCTCTGCAGAAATAACTCATAAAACAGTAATTTGCATAGGTCTGTAGGCATGTGATTTTGTGCTGAGGATGACATATAATAAACATGAGTGTACATGAAGATAATCATTAGATGGAGATGATATGTGGAGCCATCATCAAATAGAGTACATGATGCTAATAAACAAGTGTTAGGCAACCAGAAAATAATCGAAGATAGAATATTGGTTAAAGAACATAAAGTAGCCTATAAATCCAAATTTTTTGCTTCATAGAAACAACAATTCACTTAATATGATCATGCATTACTGAGATTTTTTTTTCTAGAGAAACACATCTTTACTATGCAACAAGCTTCTTCTTTGGAATGATTATGCTAAATAATCTTGGATGATTATGCTAATCTTTTCAACTTCATCTAAATCCCCGACCAGTGGCTAGAACCTAATTTTGAGACAAAAGACAGATTCCTGAAAACTCAACCTGTACTGAGTTCAAATTCTACAGTATGCAAAATTGTACATGCCAACCTACGATTAGTTGGTTCCTCTACATACCGAACTAGTCGAAGCATACCGGAAAACTCTATCCTCGAACAACAGTTCTTCATCATTCTCAGCAATCGCATCCTTAATTGCTTCTACAAGACCCTTCTCCCGCGTTATCTCCTCTGGGTCATCGGCCACCTCGCTCGGAGGTCCGGCCGCTTCACCGCCCCAATCCTGATCCGAAGACGAAGAACCCCCGCCAGCAAGTTCATCTCGTCCAAGCCAATCTTCCCACGCTCGGCCCTCCGCATTTCTCGCATTCTCTTGTGATTCACGGAGCTCAACGATCGCCTCGGCCCTGCTCTTCCAAGCCTCAAATCTCTCATCCTCCGGCCCGTCCTTCTCTCCGTAATCATCGCCTACCCCGTCGACGCCGAGCACATCCTCAGCACTCAAGCCGAACCAGCTCTCGTCGTCTCCGTCCGAGAAGAACTTCTGCCACCAAGATCTCTTCTTGGGGTACCCCTTGTACTTACAATTTCCAATCATTCGGGAGGCGCTCCGCCGTCGCCGACTCCGCTGAATAACAAAAGCAAGCATGTGGTTCTGCGCGCTACCGCGGGCGGGACGTGCATCGCCGAGAAAGAAAACGAGATTCCCGCGGCAAGCACTAGTCGAAGCGCTCATCAAGGGCATGAACGAGGCGCCGCATGTTTCGCGCTCATGCTACTCGTGCCGGCAACACGATCACAACTGTTCCGGCGGATTCGAGAAACCACAAGACGAAGGAGAAGAGGCGGGGACGCAGGACACCGGAGATGAGGTCGAGCGACGAGAATGGGGGAAGAGCTACGACATGGAATCGTTGGCGTCGCCGATGGAGAACTAATGGAACAATGGATAACGTAATATATAATAATATATATATTTTTTAAAATCATGACTTCCTAAATTGTTGCCCGAAAATTCATTTTTATTATAGATATTCATACAAAACATATATATATATATGTATATATATATATATGTGTATATATATATAAATAAATATATATATATATACATATCTATATATATACACACACACACACACACACACACACACATATATATATATATATATATATATATAATTTCAGAGGGAGAGAGAGAGAGAGTCATCCAATTCCCAAACGCGAGCTCGAGAAATCGTCTGCTTGTTGGAGAAATTATCATCCAAATCTCTGGTCGCTTTGCGCATGGATGATTCTTCCGATCAAGAAAAGGACGTTAATTACTCGTCGTATCATCAAGAATGGGTTGAGTATGCATCTGTTTCTCGAGTCGCACTCCATAGTTTGTTTTCTGCCCTTCTTTTTCGTTGTGGATGATCCATGTCGATTTCAGAGGGACGATCTTTTGGCACGCAGAGCGCAGGAATCGCTTAAGAAAAAACTGGTTCTTGAAGATGATTTCGCGTGGGGAGTGCCCTCGCAAGGTTTGGCATCCGGGGATGGGTCAACGAGGGAGAAGCTCAAGTACATCGGAGGAGTCGATATAAGCTTCTTAAAGAAGGATCCTTCGGTGTCGTGCGGTGCTCTTGTGGTGCTGGATGCTGATACTATGGACGTTGTGCACGAAGAGTTTGAAGTTACCCGTCTGCAGGTTCCGTATGTTCCTGGCTTTCTTGCATTCAGAGAGGTATGCGTTTCTTCGGTGCTGTATTCTCATCAGTGATGCGTCATTTGTGTCCAATGTATTCTCTTGGCGTGCTTATTATGCAATTGAGGGGCTGTTCGCTGAGTGTCAGATTACAATGTAGTGAAGTACATGTTGCGAGTTCAAAGACTGCAGAATTATATGATTGTGAGGCTATCAGTTTATAGCATGAATGCACTGTTTTACTTGCTATAAAACCTTTCTTTGATAGCCTTGAAACATATGGAGAATCGCGCAAGAATAATAGCTTCAACATTGTTTGCCATATATTATTTCATCAAAAGGGCATGCAATGATCAATAAATCTCTTTAATTCGTTCTTGGACCTCTTTAATTTGCGAAATACACATTTGCTTAATATGGTTGTCCCTGAAGAAGTGGTCCGCTGACCTCTTTGCCTGACTTCTCAGTTGGTTGTTTCCGAATTAGCATGACAGATGCTAACTATGACTGCTATGTTAGTTTCCGAATTAGTGGTCTGCTGACATACTGAGCCAGATGCTAACTATGTCAAATATCTTTGTCTTGGTCGTTTCTTAATTCTTTCTTTCCATGACTGCTATGTTGTTGGCCCCTACTTGGACTTCAAGTCTGGACCATTCACTGTAAAGGCATTAATGCTTTATGAGAAAAATTGTTTACCCAGTCCTTGCTGGTGGCTTGTTGCATCTGAGATAGTAACTCTAGTTGCAACTGTACAAAACATCTCCACCTCTCTTTTAACTGTGGTTGTGCAATTCGAGTCTGATTTTTTCTAATCCCTTTGATACTGGGTAAAGAAAGAGAAAAGAATGGCATGAAAATATTGTCAGTTGAAAACTCTACTACTTTTCTTACATAAATTGTTTAATTTAAGCTAAGTTGGCTAAAAACAATTTCAGTTTGATGATTTTGCAACTGTGGTGTATACAATGTTTCCGACTTTGCAAATATCATATATGGGATGTGTCTATCTCTCTGTCATATATGTTGAAATTTACAAATCATTTTTTTGTGGTATTGCAGGCTCCAATGCTTCTGGGGCTTCTGAACAAAATGAAAGCAAATGCTCATCCTTTCTATCCTCAGGTAAACTCTCCAAGCATTGGCTTAGCCAAAAAAGTGATGAAACAATTAGTTGTCTGGATGTTACTGGTAAATAAGTTTGCCAGTTTAGAATTTTATAATGCAGTCTTATTCATGGCAATATGGCAAATAATTTATTATATATTCTTGAAACACCACATTTGAAAGTTGGGTATAATCAAATCATAAAGACCAGGAATATGTATTTATTATAACTGCAAAGATCATATTGGACATTAAATGGGTTTGATAGGTAACCGTGTCATATCTATTGGACTGGAGAAATTTGATGGCTTGTCTCTTGGGAGGTATGGAGTGATAGCTGCAAGAATTACATGTTTTCTGACCCATCCTCCAACCAATGAATGCATGAACGGATAATAGCTTGTATGCAACTTTGATTTAACCAACATTTCGTTTTGGATTAATGATCGATGTATCAAGTGTCAACAACTAAAATCATGCCCTGCCCATCAATTTAATATATTATATGGTGTCCAGAATTCTTTTTTCAAACTAGAATCTTGCAGTTGCATTTCAGATGAGTATGATATCACCTTTTACTCTAGGATTAACTGTTGCATCTGTTGTAAATTAGAATGAAGGTAGCTTATGCTTTTTTGTAAAAGAACCTTTTGAAGCTGATAAGAAAGCATATCGGTAATGAAATCCTTAATGGCCATAATTCCATTGATTCTGATTTTGTCTAGATGCTTATATCTCTGTAGTAATAACAGCACAACTGTTTCATGTGTTTACTATTGCCACTATCTGATTTGTCACCGCAACTGAAACTTTCAAACTATAAGATTCTTGATTCTGTATTGATTTTTGCAGTTACTGATGGTTGATGGCAATGGATTGCTTCATCCTCGAGGTAAGTTTCATTATGCATTACCTTGTCATGCGCTTCACTGCAACTATGATATACACTTAAAAACTCAGTAGTTAAAGGTAGTTCATTTGACGTATGCCAGTATCTCATTCAAATAATTAGCAATCTTGCAGCAACTCTGGCTGTATAAACTAATTCTTATGTGAATATATTCATTCAGCTGCAACTTATGTTATTCTCTGTATTCCTTTTTGTAACTGTCTTTTGTTATAAAAGGTCACATGGGATGCGGAGCTAGAGCTCACAAAGAATGAACTATAATACCCTGATTTGTTTTTTCTTGCTTTAATAAATGGTGCCATGGCACATTAACTTTTTTCCCTTTTGTTTTGGGTGACTGAGTGATTTTGCAGCTTCATTAACTGATTTTGCATATAATAATCCATTACGCATTCTATATACTCTGCACAGAATCCTAAGTTTAGAACACTACTCAGGTCTTGGTCTAGCTTGTCATCTTGGGATCCTGGCTCATCTTCCAACTATTGGAATCGGGAAAAATGTAAGTAAAAAGAGCTCCTTTCTTAAAACTCCCTTCTTCTTAAAATTTTCCAGAGCATAACTATAATTGCAGGTGATAATAAGAGTTTAAGACTTTTTCAGTCATTCACAAAGAGTAATCTATTAGTCATCCATCTTTTAAACATGCAAAGAGATCATAAATGTTATTCCTCATAGTGTTGTTAGGCTGGTTAGAGCATAAGTCATGGTTGAACTTTGGTTCATGGTTTCAGTTTACTTACTAAACTACTCGGTCAACCTATTGATTGGTTGATCCATATCCGGTACCAAATAAATGTCCATGGAAAAAGGTGCAAGATGTTTATTCTATACCATTGTTTGTAATGGCATCAAAACATTTTTAAACGAATGGATCTGTTGTTGGTTGGTATTGTACACTTTGATCAGAGCTATCTTCTGCTTACTCATGCTAGTTCCAGACCTTTCTACTAAGGCTGTTGATCACAAAAACTATGCAATTGTTCATGTAAATCATGCGTTTTTTGTTATTTTAATGATTGTGTCTCTTATAGTTGCATCATGTTGACGGACTAACTCAGTCTGCGGTGCGACAAAGTTTAGAAGCAAGAGAAAACTATGACAAGGATCTGATCTTCTTAACTGGAAAGTCTGGGAAAACTTGGGGAGTGGTAAGAACATTGAGATCATTACAAAACACTAAATGTACTCCAATTGTTTTTCTCTCTGTTTATCTTTATCTCCTCTAGGTTAGATACCTTAAGTAAACATGCATTTACTGCTTACTAAAGGATTCTTTTGCAGTTTCAGTATTTTGAAAAAGATAAAATTCATAACTGCAAATTTTCCTACTTTAATTAACACTATGACAAATTATGGAAGCTGACCATGTTAGGTTACCAACCAAACGTTTTGGTGGGATGTCGGTACACCACTTCTTTCCTACATGCTTCATTGAAATGTAGGACCACTAAGTACCCACTGCAATTTGATCCCTTGGATTAAGGGTGGGACTGGATGAGAAACAGAATGGTTAGCTATATTTGTATCTGTGGCACAAAACTCTCCGAAGTCATGATGTCCATTTTCAGATTTTTTTTCTTCAATTTATCACTTTGAATTCATATTAGCATCATGGTATTGATTGCATACCACATGCCTGCATCTTTTGAACACAAACGAGTTATTATAGATGATTAGCATATGAATCAAAATTAATACTTATAATCCATTTGGCATTGCAAAAGAAAAAGGGTAAAAGAAGAGAAATGGGAGGGAAAAACAGAGGAACTGGAAAGACACATACTTGGTAGTGTGCCCTTCGCACCTTACCAGATTTTGCTGGTCCATCACTGCATTTGCTTAAGCTTCTAATATTAGGTTATAATAAACCTGTTCGCAATAATAAAATATGTAACAACACACAAAAGAAGTGGTAGGTTTTAGTGACAACAATATTTACTAGTGTTTGATTTCTGTACCAGTTTGGGATCTAACCAGTAAGTACTGCTAGGTATAGTACCAGGCTGTATTCAGCAAGTAATTTTAGGTACCATCAGGACCAGGCAGAATTTAAATCATTGTTTCAATCTTTTGTCTGTTGTTTATGTAATCTATCAAGCAATTTTTTTCTGATCAAGTAAACTTTAATGGTCTTTATAACATTTCTATTCTTGTTTTGTTATCCCAGTGTGCTATCCAGTAAATTAGTTCGGAAGACATGTTTCTACCATATATGATTTAAACAAGAAGCAGTTTTACCATGCATCTTGTTTTTACAAAGTAAATCCTGATAAAGTTCTTAATACTGGGGTGCCATGGGAAATGTTTGGTTCTAGGCTGCATAAACAAGATATATATTCTGTTGATGCAATGTCCTGCAATCATAAAAGTTCGGTGCCTAGATCTTTGAGAATTTGCTAGTCTCCTCAATGGACCACTTTTATTTTTTTAGGCAATGCGATCCATTCTTGGGTCATCAAAACCTATTTATGTGTCAATTGGTCATCGGATTTCACTTGATTCAGCCATTAGCATCGTCAAAACATGCTGCAAATATCGCATTCCTGAGCCAATTCGACAGGTAAACTTCTGATTTTTGAAATAATGAACATGGTTCCTTACTTTCTTCATTGATCTTCTTCTACACTGTTTAGTTTCAGGATTTGCTGAAGTTGGAATAACTTGATTCATGATCCCAATTGTATCATTCTGAGTGCAGTTTTGTTGTTATAATAATCTTTTACCATGTAGGTGTTATACAAAAATGATTTCCATGACTAGATAGAGGTATTTGTCAGGGTGATAAGACAGCCTTCTAATTGGTCTAGATTATTGTAATCTTGGACTGTCAGATTCTGTGCAATCGTTTTTCTCTTTTTTCCATTTTTTGATATTTCATAGATCGGTATGATCTTAGCATGGGCAATATGTCGACTTGTAATTTTGTAGGCTGATATAAGATCCAAGATGTTCCTTCAGAAGTTCAACGGACTGTAGACATTGGTATGATGATCTTCTCTTCTATTTTGTTTTTTCTTTGTTTCCTTTTCTGAGATTTTCAGATGTGGAAAATAATAAAATTAACACATTTGTGGGGCTTTTATAGATCACCTGTTGTTTAGTTCTGCTCTTTAAAGTTGCTAGCTAGTTGATTAAACTTCCAAACTGGGATATGCATATTATGTTATATCTTCATCCTTCTGTGTTAGTGGTCATCCGTTGATCTTTCTTATTTGTTATTTCATTATGATTAACCAATATCTGTATTGTTCGGTGTTAATTATTGGCTTACGACACATACCACTAAATCAGCCATAAGATAGAGAACTTATTTATGATACACACATATCTGTTCCTGTAACTAAAATAGATAGAATGTCTCTATTCTTGGACTTTGAGTGGTTCTCTTTGGGTTTATGATGTAATTAGTATCAATATCTGTATTGATACTACACGTACCACTATGATTTATGATTAACCAATATCTGTATTGTTTGGTGTTAATTATTGGCTTAGACTTGTACCACTAAATCAGCCATAAGATAGAGAACTTATTTATGATACACACATATCTGTTCCTGTAACTAAAATAGATAGAATGTCTCTATTCTTGGACTTTTTGAGTGGTTCTCTTTGGGTTTATGATGTAATTAGTATCAACTATCTGGATTCTATAATTCTCCAGCTTGTTACCTCTAAATAGGGAAAAGTCTGCTTTTTCTTCTTTGTATGTCCTTTCCAGTTTATCAGATTATGCATAGATGTATAAGAAATGTAATTTTACTGATTAAACATGATGATTTGCTTCACCTTTGTAAATCGAATAAACAAATGATGAGTCAAACCTGCAAAAGGTGCTTGGAACCCATCTAGAGGATACTTATCGCAAATTTATGGATGAATTATTGGATTGAACAGAATAGAACATGTGCAACAGTGCAAGTACATTCTAGATTCTCAACCTTATTGCTAAGTCTATTGTACATGATTGACCATAGTGAAAACAAATGCTGCTCCTCGGATTCTTGGTCAGTCTTTATTTATTTGATCTTTTAGATTTAGTATCTCACCGGATACCCTCCAGCACAAGCATGCTATTTTTATTCTTTTATTGCAGGTCATAAGTTGGACACCAAGCCCATCTATCTATCAGAGGCATCAAGAGGACATGAAGACCTACCTACGCTTTGAAAGAACTCTTTCCAACATGAAGGCTTAGCTCAATAGGACCTTTTCTTGTTCGACAATGACGATGCAATGATTTTTTTGATGTGAAGGCATAGCTCAAAGGTAACTTTTAAGATGAATTTTCAGTTTGGAGGATAAGCTCAAATGAAATACATGGCAATAAAGGGAAACTCCCATCAATCAAAGCTGAGTCAGTTGCTGCTGTTCATGATCATATTAGCAGGTTGTCAATGTTCTTCTTTAGCACTGTGAGCAGTCATTTTTGTTGTTATTATTAGTATCACCATAAATGCAAAGATGAGGATGAAAAAGAGACATTTTTGGTTCAAACAATTAAATATATTTTCCGTATCATGAAACAACATCTTTCTCAAGGGGCAAAGATTATATATTTGTTATGAAAGGAAGGCAGGCAGGCAGGCAACGTAAACAACTTTTCTTTATTCATACATGTGTATATAAACAATATTATGTAGTTTGAATTATTTATGCTTCGAATATTATTCTATCTATTGATATGATAGATAGCATATCAAATTCACTCACCAAATGTTGAAGATTCAAGACCTTGTCAATTGGATCTCCTTCTAAATTGTATCAAAATATCAATATAAAATCTTAGTATCAAAACTCCAAAAAAAATAACTGAACTAACGAGATGATGAACATGTGCTAAAGTTGACGTTGGTGGAAACATCAACATGCACCGATGAACATATTCCAACTAGAAAGATTGGATATAGTTAGTGCATGGAAAGAAATGGGCAAAATAACACAAGCTGCATGTAATCAGCTTCAGGTTTCACTGTTTCACGCAAACACAGATAGCATGACCACAGAGCAAGCATGCTGGGAATCTGAGCTATTGTAATGGCAGATGGGCAAAAAACACAATTCACTACCAACCATAAGGTTTCTCCAGTTCTGATCCAGCAATGTTTCGTCAATAAAATGATCAGATGCAGCATCTTAAAAAGCTAGCTTATTGAAAAAAGTTAAAAAAGGGTCTCATAAAGGCAGTTCCCCGCTGTCGGCAATCACGACTTCGCTTTTAGGTGATCCATTCTGCTTCCCTTCTGCTTCAATCTTGTACACCACATCCATGCCCGATAGAACTTTCCCAAAAACAACATGTTTACCATCCAACCTGCAGAAGAAAAAAGGCCACAAATCAGTAAATACTTACCTATTATAGTCGTTGAATGCGACTGCACTGCATGACAATTACCAGCTAGTTGTCACAGTTGTGATGAAAAACTGAGATCCGTTGGTATCACGGCCAGCATTTGCCATTGACAGGAATCCTACAACAATAAATAAATAAAGCAGTGTCATTTTCTTTTTTTTTGGCAATGCACACAAGAATAGGAGCCTAGCAAATGCATTTTTTTAAGTGGATAGATGATATGTTATTCGTGCTACCTGGCCCGGTGTGTTTGAGCTTGAAGTTTTCGTCAGCAAATGTCATGCCATAAATAGATTCTCCACCCCTTCCATCTCCATGTGTGAAGTCACCTCCTTGGATCATAAAGCTGGGTATTATTCTGTGAAAAGTACTCCCCTTGAAGTGAAGAGCTTTCCCGCTCTTGCCTACACCTTTCTCACCTGTGAATAAAAGCATATAAGCGGCATGAGTTGCCATAGACGGAGTGTTTTGACATACAATACGCTTTAAACTATGAATTTAAAGTTCTTCAATCAGTACAGATGGCTATTCCAGAATCAATGTTTATCTAGTCTCAAAGGTGCCAAGCATGACTCAGATATCACTTGGTGTATCGGAAGACCTAACTTTTGCTTTATATCATGATAATGGATGTGTGACTTCTCTTTTTTCAGAAAGAGATATTTTTTGTTTTGAGACCCAAAAAAGCTGTTCGATATTTTCATAAGAAATACAATCTGCTCTCATGGTCACTAATTATCATACATGTTGGTTAAATCATTTCATGCATTTTATAAGTGTCTGTATTTGGACAAAGAGGAAAGCTTCTCTCTGTTCTGTTTCTTCTCACATCCTTTTCATCACTTGGCATTTATAGCAACATCCTTATTATCTTAAAAGGGAAAAAAAACACAGTTTTAATTGTTCTGCAATGATAGGTTATATTCACATACTTTTATTTGATCATTTTGCCAGTGTGGTTGTAGAAAACAGCTTGTCACAGCCTCTATGTTTTTATAGCATATACTGAGACAGCCTCTATGTTTTTGATAGCATATACTGAGACCAGTTTTCATTATTTTCGGCAAATAAATACCAGAAGAAAGAAAGAATATCACTGTTACTGAAAGAAAACAGTTTCTTTAACAAATCAAACCACAAGCCAGCAGTTAAATCAACAGAGACAAGTTTAAGCATTGTAAAGAAAATACAAGCATACCTGTGCATAGAGCTCGGAAGTTTTCTGTAGGAGCAACAAACCAAAGAAAAAAGAAAAAGAGAAGAGGAACAAAGTTAGATGTTCTTTTTTACATATTAAAATAACATATCAGAAAGTAAAAAGTAAAAAGTAAAAAAGAAAAACTTAATAGGAAGACACATAATGAACATGAAAAACTATAAATCCAACAAGATCAGAATTTATTTAAAAGACAGTACCTGCTGTCTTAGGCACAGTTTTTCCGAAAAGACCCATAACTATGCGACCTGGTAGAATTAGACATCCATTCAATTAACATTAATGACAACACACTATCACTTCATAGTCAAATCTCAGCAGCAACATAACAACATAAATGGTATAATGCATATTGTTCATTCAAATACTAATGAAAGAGTATTAGTACAAGAACAAAAAATCATTGATAGAACACCAACACTGAACCTCAGATCTTGCATCGTATCAATCACATGGAGTTAAGTATGCTCATGAGCAAAGCAACACCATAAAACAACAGTAGGATAAAAGTCATCATCCAAGCAGATCATTTAAGACGACATTCAGATAAACATAGCAATGCCATCAATATAGTTGCAAAGTGGACAACATAGTCATCAGGAAAGCACTTATATTCATTCTGACAATAAAAATCAAAGCTTTCAACAAAAGACATTAGCTCAACTTCAACAGTCACCTATTTTTGCTTCAATCAATGTTAAGAATAATCTACAGCTAAGCTCATTACCAGCAGGCTTTCCACCGATCTCAACATCAAAGTAGACCTTGTGTGATACTTCCTTTGAACTTCCCTTAGATTCTTTAGCCTGAAATAATGTTCAAAACCAAAAAGAAAAGAAAATTAAGAAAAGAGAACCAACATGGAACCGAGAATCGTCTTCTATAGCAAATAGCACATCTTAAACACAGTAGTAAGAGGACGCGGGCAGGTCTTCAATAGACCAACAACTCGTCATCGATTCTTGAGTCGTCACAAGGGACTTGTTCGATTCGAACACTGGGGGCGATGATCCAAGAACTAATTCAAGAACGAATGACGGGACGAATGAATGAACGCATATAAGAACCTGGACGAGGACGAGGATGATCGCAACGATGAGTAGTAGGAAGCACCGCATCGACGCCGCCGCGGCCGCTGCCATCTCCGTGGTCTTCTCTCTCTCTAGCTTGTGATCCGAGATCTGTGCGTCGAGCCCACCGAACGACCTTTCACTCGTCAGAACCCTAAGTCACGTGGATAGCACCTGAAGAAACCACGTGGCGTCGGCCAATGGGAATGCAGTCCGCTATTTGGGATGGGCACGTGTCACAACATCTGACGTCGCTGTTTCGGACTGTGCATAAGAATTGGATTAGATTATAATGTTGGGATTAAAGGAGTTGTTAAGGTGAATTAATAGGTCATTAAGGCTGGTAATGAGTTCGGCTTAAATGGGACCCATTAAGGGAGCCAATGATGGGCCGAGCTCGCCGAGCCTCACAAAACCCTCGACGCTGTTCTTCATCCCTGAGCCGTCGACCTCCTCCCCCTGGTCGACACCGCCGCCGCCGCCAGACCTCCCCTTCCTTGTCCTTGATGCCACCGCCGCTTGCTGCTTCTCCACGAGATCGACGCATCCTGCGGCGGTGGATTTCCCTGCTCCCTATTTGAGATCAACGCTTCTTGAAGCCGCCGTGACCGCCGGAGCCTCCTTCTTCTCCTCATATGCTGCCCGAAGTTGCTGATTCCCAATTCGATTCGTCCACATTGACAGGTACTCCTCCACCTCTTCTTCCCCTTCCACTATTCGCTCTCCT